TTTTTTTACTTGTCTTATGCCAGACAATTTTACTTGTTAATGGGGACTTGTCTTATCCCAGACAATTTTACTTTAATTAAAAGACAATGTCAATGTTGAATAACGTAGTGGGCTACTGGGCTTATATTCGGGGGGCTGAGTTGTATAGGTTTTTCATGACTGGTGCATAACACCTCTAACAGTGAAATAGATTTTTTCATTGATTGAAGAATTTGGACATAAAAAACCTAGATATATAAAAATTAGAAACTTATGAAAATAGCAATTGATTTGAAACAAGTGGTTACATTTTCTCAAACCATGTTTAGCTGCGACATGTGCAGTTGAGCATATGATGATTGAGTAGATGCCAAGCTATATTTATACTTTATACCAGAAACATTGTTATCTGGTAGTCTGTCATATATTCATATACACAAATATTAGTTGCCCTTTATACAATAAACATAATTTAATATAAATTCAAATGTAAGCCTTCTATAAAACTAATATATCATCTTTTTAATTCAAATATTGTCGCGGCAAATTCAAATTTTAAACATGAACACATGCTCAAAATTCATGAATGAAGATAGCGAATATTTACTTTGAAAACTGCTCCATTATACATATAACATAACAATATGCTTACCTGAATGTTATTCAGTCATGCCCGCTGTTTCCTCTTCGTTCAAATCATTCGTCGTCGCTTAAAAAAGCGAATTTTTCGAACCCATAAATTCAGAACGAAGGCTTGAAAAATATGGCGTAATGGCGGTGTGAATAAATGACGCTATCCCGGGAAGCTTTGCGCGCGTAGTACGAAAACTAGGCACCAGTCTGTAAAATCGCGCTCATCGTGAGAATTTTCGTTTCTTTCGATCCGAAGAGCTTCATTCAAAAGGCCAGTTACCAGCTATATTTCAGATATTAATGGTGTGCTAAAGACAGATTAATCTCTTAGAAAATAAATAGTCCCAGTAATGCTCTTACTACATGCGAAAGAATAAACAACAAATATCAAACGGTTATTAGACACGTAAAACTTGATATCGCCGGTAAAGTCGATATCGCCATTTACACCTACTTTATATATCCGAAAAACATATTATAGCATACATTACCGTGATTGATGATTGGATTTATTGTATGTTACTAAAAAGCATTTTTCAGTACACACCGTGCACGCGTGTTTTCCAAAATCGGCGTAGGGTGTGTTATCTAACACACCAAGATGTGTTTTGCAAATTAGTATGAGGTGTGTTCTCGAACACACCAAGGTGTGTTTTCATTCAAAAGGTGTGTTATTGAACACACCTTATATGCATCAAAGGTGTGTAAGAAAAGGTGTGTAAAATACAGGTGTGTTTCTTAGCACACCTAGGTGTGGTTTGTTACACACCATGGTGTGTTTTCTAACACATCATGGTGTGTTTTCTAACACACAAAGGTGTGTTTTCTAAAATTGTATAGGAAGGTGTGTAAAATGTACACACCTTGGTGTGTAATTAAACACACCTTGGTGTGTAATTAAACACACCTTGGTGTGTAATTGAACACGCCTGTTTTTAGAGTGTAGCTTTCAAAAAATAGTTTCCAAACTAAAACACTAAAAACGAAACACAGCACACAACATACACCTATCCCGCTCATGGTTTATATGTATGTGTCGTATATAATATTATGTTTATATTTACGTTATTATCCTTATAAGGATAATAACGTAAACTATGTAATTATATAAGCATATATATATATATCTAGTAAATACATCTGGAATCTTAAGAACAACAACATTAGTTATTCTATCAGATGGAAAATTTTAAAACGTGCTAAATCTTACAGTAATGCATCCAAGAGATGTAACTTGTGTATTTGGGAGAAGTATTTTATTATTTGTAAACCGGACATGGCAACACTTAATCGTCGCAACGAACTTGTCTCCACGTGTAGACACGCAAATAAATATCTACTTAAAAACTTTATAACTTGATACTAATATTTCGTGACACTACTTAAGCTGTTAATTGATCTGTAATTAGATAAGCATCGTTTACCATCTGTACATATTTAAAAAGTTCGTTAGAAGCTAGAGGTCAAACATAGGCTATTTTATCTGAGGAGTGCCACGTTATTTACGTGGTACGAAACTGTATAG